AAAAACAAATAGCACCACTGAAACGAATAGAAAAACAACTTATGAATTTCGACCATCTCTATATGGGATATAAATATTTAACAATCTTCGACAAAAATGACAGAGCTAAAGTAGCAACAGTATTGGAAAAATACCCCAAAGTAATTGACCTATCGAAATTACCAGACAATATCTTAGAAAAACTTAAAAAACAATATTATTATTACAATTTAAAATACGATAATAACGGACAAGCGTACCAAATTAAAATACGACAAACAAACGAAATTCAAGTTACACTTGTAACAATCAGATTCTTAATGCTTGAATACAAAGACCTTACCCTTATTTAGAAATAACCGGTAATACAATTCCGGCCACTTAATACTTAACCTTAGCCAAAAAATTCGATAAGTCTCCAGGACTATACGTGTCAATTTTTCCACAAATAAAGCTCAAATACACCAATTCTTTATTTAAATTTGGGTTATCGTAATGATTTTTGAATTAGAAAATCTATGGAATAAGTATTTGTAAAAAATACTCCAGTATCTGGCTGTAAAATTTAATGTGTGACATATTAAATCTAAAGCCAGATAAACATGTTATTGATCATGGTGCTTACTATTATTCGACCGTAAAAACAACTTTCTCTTTTGGTTTAGAATTCACGTATTCATATGCTTCTATACATTGGTCTAATTTAAATTGTTTGATATTTTGTGGAGCTCGAAGGGCGTCACTAGTTTAACATAAAAAAGTTATTGAAACATAGATTAATAAAGATGTTTAACGAGAATTAATCAACAATTTTGAACATATTTGATAATCATAATAAGCACTAAGATTTAGAAAATCACTTGTACCTTTCAAATCCTGGTTTCAATATATTAAATACTCTAACTGCATCTTCCCTAGTATAGTTTAATGTGTTAAGTCCAAAAAGACGAAGTTCTCGACTTTTTTTTTTTAACATATAAGGATTAACAAAAATTTAACATACAAAAGAAAGAGGTATTGATATTTAATGATAAAATAGTTACCGATAAAAATCGAGTCCATCAAATGAGATGTATTTGTTATCTGAACGTCCAACTGTCATTACAACATATCTTCCACGAACTTTCAATGATAAGAATGCCTTTTGAAGATAAAAAAGGGGTTTAATATAAACTTAAAATACTTAGGAACATATAATAAATATCATCTAATTAATTTATTTCACAAACCTTTTCAAATAGTGCAGGGTGTCCAACAGTGTCAACTACGACATCAACACCTTTTTGATCCGTCAAATCAAGAACTTTCTTTTTCAAATCCTCAGTTGAGGTATCAACAAAATCAGCACCAATTTCTGGAAGTGGATTACTAGTAAATGTGCCAATTGGTCTAGCTTTAAGAAATTTTGTTATTTGGACCGCGGCAGAACCGACTGCTCCACGTGCACCTTACATACATATTTTATAAAAAAGAAATTGTAATTAAATGAAAGATTATGAAATCAAAATGAAAAATGGATGAAAAAAAAGAAAGTACCTATGACAAGGACATTTTCACCTTCCTTAACATTTGCAGTATCTAACGCAAGGTAAGCTGTTAAAAATCCAACACCAATTGATGCAGCATCAATGAGAGATAAATTTTCAGGTTTGATAGCAACAGTTTCAGGAGTTGCTATAACATATCTACACACAAAAAAACAATGATTAATAAAGTTTATAAAAGATAATTAATTACTTGAATTATATATTTTGAATACTCACTCAGCATGAGATCCATCAAATGTGAATCCACTGTATCCACCAGTTCCGAATACTTCCTTATTCAACCATTCAGGTGGACCATCGACAACTATGCCTGCAAAATCTCTTCCAGGAGTGCGCGGTAAGGTGGTGAGTTGAAACCTACCTAGGACGTTAAAAACATCACTCTAATTTTTAAAAGAATAGCTTAAGTTAGATAGAATCACATACAAACTTAGTGAATTGAAAATGAATAGAAGGTGAATTTTTAAATAAAATATTTACAGGATTAATGGCAGAGGCATGAACTTTAACTAATAATTCACCTTGCTTAGGAGTTGGCTTTTCGATATCTTCTACGACTAAATTTTTAATGTCACCTTTTTGATTAAATCGTACTGCTTTCATTTTTTCTATTTTATGAAATATTTCTTTTTTTTTTTAACGTCGAACTAAAGCGAGTATTTAAGCAATGGTAATGCGCGCAGCGATCAAATCAAGTTATGATATCGTAAAATATGAAAATTTCTGCACTTTCTGCACTATTTATTCTGTCAGTTATATAGCCTACAGTACATTAATATACAGACTCTCCTATTTTAAACAGTCTTTCTAAACTGACGCTCGTCGACTAACCCAAAATTTTGAAAATTGTTACAAAATTCGGCTTAAAAACGGTAAATTCTCAATTTTATTATATAAGTTATATAAAGAAATATATGAACGATGCCAAGGACTTAAATCATATATGAACTACGATATCAGGTTTGTGAAACAAACATCGTTTTACTATATTTGCTCTTCCCGCAGCTAATATCGGGTTCAGATATATACAGTATTATTTATCCATTCGTATTTAATATGTCGCAAGGTTGACGTTATGTACGTACGTACGTTTGTGTTTGGTTCATGTACAGCCTGTAATTTATAATTCAGGTCAAAGAATATAATGCCGGGCGGAATTAGGAAATAGGATTTGTTAAAATACAAAAATTCAGAAATATTCCGAAAAACAAGAAATTTTGAGGTACGTACGTACTTAAAATAAGAATATCTGATATAGAATAATATAGATGCCTTGCATTTGATGCGCAGCAGCGTATGCAGCGCATCAACGTTAATACGTTATCGTTATTTCTATAAATTGTATTTAGTGCATTATCTTTCTGATTATCATATGAGTGCTGTCAATAGAAAACCTGTCATCGGGCTTTTCAATGTTCAATTGGCTTTTTGCATGTCATCTATGGGCAATCTATTCCGATGATAGATTGTCCATAGACGGCAACTGAACATTGAAAGCCCGATGACAGGTTTTCTATTCACAGCACTCATATCCAACCAATCAGCTCTTGTATTATGACCACGTTGATAATTTGTTTTTCACGTATACAGTAATGTACGCGTTATGAAGGTCGGGTCTCCGCTAATCTAAGAAACGGTCTTTCTTTTTTTTTGGGTACTAAAGAATGATGTATTCATGGCAGTATATTTGAAAAATCTTCTTAGTCTACTCTTTTGTTCTTGCTCTTGCGGTACTATTGTAAACTGAAGATATACAGGACAATCAAGAATATTGAATATTTAAAAATTCATAAATTCACTCGAACAACCATGATAATATAGAAAAACCCAGTACAGAGCTTCAAAATAGATATAAAAAAACTATAATTTAGAAGCTTCTAAATTTAAGAGCTATTAAAAGAATTTAAAAATACAATATAAAAGGTAAATTATAAATATTAAAAATTTAAAATTAAAACTAATTAAATCTTATTAAATTTTATTAAATAGGTTCATATCATATTGTTGATAAAAATAAATCAGTAACAATAAGAACTTTTACTCTTGACTTAGAGCAAAGAAATGGTTTAAAATTGACAGAACAAGCAATTTTTAAGTATTATAAAGACCATTTAGTAAATGAACAATATATAAAACACCAATCGGCTAATTTTAAAAATATATGTTAGAATAATTTGGTGTAGTGGAGAAGTGCAGAAGCGCAGAGCTAAAAAAGATCATAAATATACTTGCTAAAAGAATATGCGACTTGTTTTATTAATGTGTTAAAAAATGGGTTAACATATATAGAAATAAATATTTTACCTGTTTTTTTTTATTTTTTCTAATTTTTGTAGAAATGATTTTTTTTCTTTACTATGAGGACCGGAAGCATTAGACGCATATTTTTCATCTGGAAAACCAGCGGTAGAAGACACATATTCTCCTTCTAAAGAACCAGCAACGCCAGACACGTATTATGAGTATAGAATAAGTTTGTGCGTATGATTGATATCAAAAAGAAAAATTGTACTTATATATTTTTTTTGGAAGGTTGAATTCGGTACTGAGTTTAAAATTTAAAACCTACTTTTCAACGCATATTTAAATGTCAAGCAAGAATTCGGTCGTTTTAACAATCATTTAATTAAATTTAATTGGTATTGCCATTTAGAACTTTCAGTAAAAAGTACTAACTAAAAAGTATTTGTTAAATCAATAACTATAATAGAAAACTTGGTGATTAGATTTTTAAGGCTTAATGTCTTTAACGGCTTATATGAAAAGTGGTATTTTTTATATCTGTTACTAAACATGATAGCAGTAATACAGCTTATACTGTATGAAAAAATGATTGTTGGTTAGTTATAACTTAAGTCTTAACTTTCGTCTTTTTATCGGGGCTTTGTCTTTCGTTAGGATTTCACTAGGTTTCAACTTTCATCTTTTCTGATTTTAGCTTTTTTTTTCATCGGGATTTTAGGCTTTATCAAAATTTCGTCTTTGCCAGTTTTAAATTTCATCTTTCACCATCACGCAGATAAAATGCATCTCACTATACTGTAATACATACAAAATAGTTTCTCATCATATTTTATTGACTGCCTCATATGAATAGCAAATGTTTTAAAACACGATATTAAAAATTATGATTGTTTATTTAAATCTTTTGAAAATAATTTAATACATTGGACGTAATTATGATCCGATTGCGTAATTTAAATGTATAATATTTATATATTATTATTACTAATATTCAAAAAGGAAAAAAAAAAAAAAAAAACAATGCCTCATGTTCGTAGAAAAACCCCGTTAAAAGTAAACTTTACAAAGGTTGCTGAACTTGATAAATATACCTCGCCGAAAATGTAATTATTGTGGAGAAGACAGTTGATTTAGTTGACCGACTAAAAAGTCATTATTAAAATGTAAAAAAAACCTCCAAGAAATATAAAAGATTTATTAAAAGCTAAGCTCAGAATCAGGATTCTGGTTCTTCAAATAATTCATTCGCAAAAACCCATTCAATGAGGTTTACATAATGGTAATATCGTAAACCTTGGACTTTCAACACCAAAAAAATGTAAAACTAATACAGAATGAAAGGTTGTATTTGGCCGATAGGCAAAAATTCGCATTTAAAATTTTATCTTTGATAAAAATTAAAACGTTCAATTTTTTTTTTCTTTTTTATGTAATACCTAATAAATTCGAAATTATATAGCACCGTCTTTTTTCTTCTCAGCTAAAAATTAAAATTAACCAGTCTGAGGCAATATTTTCAGTTTAGCAAAATTTAGCATCAGACGTCGCTGTAAAAGGTTTTAAAACAATAAAGGTTTAAAAAAACATCCTTATCAGTTATTACATTATCAAATTTTTTAAACAAATAAGACACGAGTTGTCATTATTTGCTCCATTCTAACATTACCCGAATAAATGCGCAAAATTGCAAAATTATATATGAAGACCTGCTCATAATCGAACAACAAGTTATTGTTCAGATTTTTCAGTGCATACTTTTTTCCTAGGAAAATGGTCGAATACACGATTGTAAACCCACCACTTCCAATTTTTCAAGCTTATTAAATCGCGAGCAATCAAAAATTTTTATATTCGAATCTTTACAATACTTTTTTAACTCCTTTGAGTAATCAACTAATAACGCTATAATTGACTATGCTAATAAATTGCATTATATTAAAAATGCTATTACCGTAGCATGATAGCTTATTGACATGGCTTCAGGATTGTGTAAATAAAGGATTTTCTATCCATAAAGATTTCTATTTGTTGAATCGTCTGGTAAACAGAATGGTTGAAAACAATAAAAAATTCGGATCGCAACTCCGTATGTGCATTTGCAGTATCAACCTTACAAAGAAAAACTGCAATCCTCATGTAGCATGTTGCACAAATAAGGATTGGAATAAAAAAATTCAGCATTGAAAATACGTGTCTTAGGGTGTTCTCAAGCAGCACGCTCAATATAATTTGTATTGATTGAAATAGTGCACAACCATTATGGCATTATTAATTAGACCATTTTTGAGAACCGATAGTATGATGTTGAAGACCGATAGTATGGACAATGATATGATTGAAGTATGCTCATGTATCTTCCACAATGGATTAATTTGTGATCGTGTTGGTGCTCAAGTAGTATAATTAGTTAAAATATTGATTGCAATTGATGCTTGAGCAAACGTCTTTATCATTAATATTTAGCAATTATAAAAAAAATAAAAAAAATAAATTAATGAAAACAATGGATCAACGAAAGGATAAAGAATCTACGATACTTCCAAATTCTGTAACTTCTTTTTCAGAATTTACTACGAACCAACAGAACACAAAAACGTGCCTTTTTTAATTGCGGCGAATATTTTTAGCATAGGTAACAGTGTGTGAAATTCAATGTTCTCAATGTTCTCCGAGAACATTAACAAAATTTTATGAACATAATTCGTTAAAATATGTTCTCTATGTGAGAACATTAAATAGATTTTTTTAATATTATACAATTTTAATTTTTCTATATTGAGAACATTAAAAAATTTTTGAGAACGTTAAGGACCAGAAAAATGTTCTCAGTGAGAACATACCGTATAGTTCCGAAATTAAGCACCCCCCCCGAAATTAAGCACCACCAAATTTTGTAAAATACCCGAAAATAAGCACCCCCGTGTTTTTTTATTGTTTTTGCATTTCTAACTTTGCATTGATAGATTTAATTTATTATTTATTTTAATTATTCAATTTATTTATTTAAATTATTCAATTAAATTATACAACTATGTTATACAACTTGTAATTAATTTCAATCGCTAATATCCATAAATTCAATAATATCGCTAATGTTCATAACTTCATTATCATCAATAAAATCCGTCATTTCCATATCGTTGTCGCTAATATCCATAATATCTATGATTTCATCGTCATCATCAATATCTATAATTTCATCGTTCTCATTAATATCTATGATTTCATCGTCCTCATTAATATCTATGATTTCATCGTCTTTACTAATATCTACGATTTCAATATTGTCATTCTCATATCTATTATCAGAATCCTCTAATCTGCCACTATCGGCATCATTATTTTCATTTAAGTCATTCGAGATACCACATTTTACAAAGGACTTAATAATAACATCATCTGGTATTTGTTCCCAGGAATTTTTCACCCACCCGCATACATCACTTATTCT